GGCGGGGCGGAGCTGGTGGGTCCCGGCCATCGCCCTTACGCCCGCTGTCAATACACTATCCAGAGTGCAGCCGCCAGCCTCCGCCCAGAAGGAATTAGACCCCCAAAGTTAGAAGAAAACATAAGTGAGCAAGCCACTTCAGTGTCCTGGCCCCTGCCTGGCCCCTGATCCAGCCTCCTGGGCCCCCCAGGTGAGGGAGGGGCTGGTCTCCGGGCGGGGCCTGCCGTGGGGAGAACAGGTGCTCCCGGCCCCGCGGCGCCCGCCGAGCCCGCGTGCAGCTGAACTCGCAGCAGCCTCACCGCGGCCTTCCCAGCTAGGGGTTCCCGCACCTAAGTCCAGGCTTAGCGGCCCAACCCGCTTCGACCTCAAACCCCATACTTTGCAGGGCTAGGCCAGGAACTCTGCCCTTCCTAACTAGCTTGCACCGTGGGTGTGCAGAGCAAAAGTGCTTCAAGCACTTCAACGTTTAAAAGGACACATTTTGTACTCTATCCAAAAATACTAAAGGAAGGTACTTGAAAGTATGTTTCTCCTTAAAGCAAAACACCTCTAACAAAACAGCCCTTTCTCTCTTTTTAGCCTTTAAGACTACCTCAAGACATGGCCATTATTCATTGTGTTTCCCTGCATATTCCATGTGATGCCTCAATCTTTCCAGCATAGTTCCCAGAAATAGGAAAAGCCCCAAGAGAACTACAAAAGAACCATTATTTTAGTTGTGTTCTACAACGGATTAGTCGTGTAAAACTCATGCTTGACCTTAATGATAACATCACCGACTCCTTCACATCACAGGTGAGGACACTGAGGACCAGAGTCCAACGGCAAAACTAAACATGAAAAAGAAAGACTGGAACCTACAAAGCTCATAGTCTGTAGACTAACACGACGTTTGGCTCTCTGAAGGTATAACATAGGAAGGAATATACCTAGACTGCAGAGGAATTGAGAAGCATAAATTATAAAATCTAGCTCAGATTTTTTTAAAGATTTTAAATGAATCAAACATTCCTGTTTATGACTGTGCTTAAATTATCTAAAGTAACATTTATATACAAAGACAGCAGCCCAGACATGTAATTTTTCTTCATAATATTAACAAAATTGGAGTAGGTGCATTCTGACAATTACAGAATGTGAATACACTTATACTAATCGATTTGTCTGATCAATATCAATTTCTAATGTATACAAGTTGGTTATACTCAGATAAAATATTTTAATTCATATTTCAGGCATATCATGCTAAATAATAATGATCAAATGAAAGGCTCCACCTTTAGGTCTAAGTCTTCATTGAAGGTATGTCATCACTTGCTCCCTCCCCTCACCAGCTTTAAGCGTGTTTTTTTTCTTCTGCACTCTACTGCTGAGCTATACCCTCCCCCAAAAGCCTTTACCAACCTAGTGTGCAATGATCCCTAAGAGACCTCTGGGTTCCACACTGAGAGATCAGTGCCGGTCCATGATATGCTCAAGGTGACAAAAGAGAAACTTAGAAATTTGTATTTTTACTTCCCAGTTACCAGAGCAGTAGTGGACGAGGAATGAGTGTGGTGTCCACCAGAAGAGAAATAACTCGTGTACATGTGCATTCCTGTCTTTCACTCAGTTCAAAGATCCAAGGGATCCAAGTGTTAATTCTTCAAGCCAGCCAGACTCAGGCCAGGCCCTCCCTCCATCATTCCAGGTCTGGCCAAGACAGAAAAACCCAGGAGCAGCCCTCTCCACTCTCTGTGGGGTCTCCCAGGTCCCACACTGGGAACCCTGAGTCTGGGGGTGATCCTCGCCCCCTGGGCCGCGAAGGGTAAGGCTTTGCCGGCTCCTCAGCGGCTGAGGGTGCTTACCGGGCCCTTCAGACGAACTTGGCCATTCGGGCTAGGACAGCTGTAAAGATGCTTCTCCAAGCTCCTTCGAGAGGTAGCCTGCTTCTAGCCTTAGGACATCAAAATGTAACCAGGACCTTGGCCCTTCACAGCACGGCAGGCCTTGCTTCTGGTCAAGAGGGTGCCGTGGTAAGACCCAAGGGAAGATGCTTGGGGAGCGTAGCATCCTCTGCTGCCGGGGCCCAGAAAGGCTGGCTTTCCTCTCAGCCACCTAGCCTGGAACTGGGAGTCAGCATCCAGCATTTCTGCCCTCCTGTCACCCTCTCAGCCTGGCTGGAATAAGAATGCAGGAGGTGGGAACCCAGAGCTGCTCCAACTGGTGGTGGCAGAGACCGACTATAGCATTTTGAAAGTGTGCCGAATACAACTTTTAAAAAGCTGGAGAACAAAGCAAGAGAAGCAGAAGGACCCTGAAGATGGTCTAAATTGAACGTGGTTAGGGTGCGGGTGTCTGGGCTATAGCAAGGGTTCAGTGGGTTTTCCTTTTATACCAGATGGGCATGGAAAGTAAAAATAATAAAAAAAAATAGTGATGAGAAAATTCTAGGATTTGAACACAAGTGATCTGACCCCAGAGCCCATGCTGTTGACAGAAGTATTGAGCTGGATTGAAGACTGCCTACCAATATCCTTTTCCTGGTAAATAAATTCCATTTCTACTCCCAGCCCTCTAAAACCTCCACTTGTACTCCAGACAGACAGGCCAGAGAGAGGTAGGTGGCTGACCCTCTCCACTGGTCTCCCTTCTTAAACACTGATCACGAACCGGACTTTCATTTCTGCTTCAGGCAGACCAGTCAGCTTACACCTCTGGGAGAAGCAGCCAGGGCATGCCGGCTTCCTCTCTAAAAGAACTCTAAGTAGTGAAATGAGGCGACCCTGTCAGAAGGGATCTGGGTCCTGGGACTCACCTCTCTGCCACTAGGGCTCTTCTTAGCATAGCAAACAGTCAAATGTCATTTGTTTTCTGATAGGGAAGTGATGAGAAGGAAATAAGTGTATGGAATAGTTTGGGAGTGTTCACATGGAGCATGCATGTATGTCAGAGAGTTATGAAAGTCACAGAAAAGATTTATAAAGAATAGAAAATGATGGAGCAGATAGAAAAAATACATCATTATGATATGCCATTATAGGTATCAGAGAATAGCACATATGTATGACCTATGAGAAAATATGACTTATTTTGACATTTGACCTTTGTAATGACAAATCTCTGTTAAAATACAGAAATATCTATTTCTATATCTGTTCTCTGGAGGGATAAATTGGGAGTTTGGAATTTGCAGATACTAACTGCTATATATAAAATAGATAAATACAAGGTCCTACTGTATAGCACAAGGAACTATATTCAATACCTTGCAATAGCCTATAATGAAAAAGAATATGAAAAGGAATATATATGTGTGTATGTATAACTGAATCACTGTGCTGTACATCAGAAACTAACACAACATTGTAAACTGACTATACTTCAATTTTTAAAAAAGAGAAATAAATAATAGTTTTCTGCATAGGAAAACTGAAATTCTACCCCCTCTTTTCTCATATAATTGTCCACTATTATTAGTGGAAGTGTTAGGGGGCTTTGGGGGGAAATGGGTTTTCTTTTTAAGGGAAAGGGTATGAGGTGGTTTGATTTAATTCCATTAATTGCAAGTTTACTATTAGGCATGCAGTCCTCAATCCAGCTCAATACTTCCTTCCTGTCTACTCTAGGGAAAAAAAAAAAACTTTTAGTAATTACTTGAAAACTTGGCTATTTCACACACATATTTTTCACTGATCCAGATTTTGTGTGCCAATTTTTATATGTTCAGGCTACAATGGTCTCTCTAAAACAGTGAACTTATCTTGTATGTGCTAAAAATATTACCTAGATTAGGCTGAGAGACCCAGATTGCTCCTCTGAGTGGGTAACAAACACATTTTCATGTCAAACCCTAGACTAGGGTTTTAGGATGCGAAGCTTTAAAAATTCAGCAGCAGAAATGGCATATTGATTCCTTAACACTTTCTGTAGCCTAAGACATGTGAACATGTTTCTTGATGAAGAACTAGCTGTCGATATGAAAATGATGTCATCTTCCGCTCCTGGGCCTTTTCCTGCACTCTGTGCTACTCCCAGTTGTTTCGCCAGAGCTGCCGTCAGAATCTTCCTGTAAACCTTAATCACCCTGTTGTGAAAGACCTCCGTTTGTTTAACATTTGCCCAGAATCAAGGTACAAATGATCAGATTACCTGACCAGCTAAATAGGTGAAAATATAAACCTATAAGAGTTCTCATTTTGATCTTTTAATGTATATTATGATGTCTTTGAAAGTTCATATGTCCAAAATCAATGTTCACAGCTGGACTTTAGACCATTCTGTTCTTATTCATTATGTCACTGAAATGAGAAGTAATTA